ATCACCTAACATGTGCCCTCTATATAGGATGCGTTTGATGATCGAGAATGAACCGATCCATTTGGAACTGGATACACGGGCTGCAGTTACCATTATTAACAGTGATTCAATTAAGAGTCTGCCGCCCTTACAACCATGTGACTCCGAATTGCAAATCTACACGGAAGATCCGATTAGGGTTTTGGGAAAGTGCATGGTTAGTCAGGCAAGGCGAGCGGGAATTAACTCTACCTTTGATCGTGGTACCTGGGAAAAGACCAAATCTCTTGGGCAGAAAATGGATCCGATACTTCCCAGAAACGATGCAGATTAATGAGGTCGTGAGCAATGACAGCAGTCTAAACGATCTGTTGAAGCAATTTTCTTCTTTATTCGAAAATGACTTGGCAAAGTTGAAACATTTCAGAGCTTCCATCAATCTACGGAAGAACACCAATGCCAAGTCTACAAAGCACGAACATTACCGTACGCTATACGTCCAAAAGTTGAAGTAGAACCACAACGGCTACAATCCGAAGGCGTACTCATGCCCGTAAAACACTCGGACTGGGGTACCCAATTGTTTTTGTACTCAAACCCGACGGTATCGTTCGTATCTGTCAATCATGTCACCAAGATGGAAAGGTATCCTCAAAACGCGCATGAAAGGTTTGTACGCTACGTTATCCGGTGGTCAAAAATTTTCTAAGCTTGATCTTAGCCACGCATATTCTCAAGTGGAAGCTGAAGAGGGCTTACGCGAATTAACCACCATAACTACATATCTTGGACTATTTCAGTATACCTGTCTTCCTTTCGGAATAAGCTCCGCCCCCCAGCATCTTCCAGCAGATTGTGGATGACATCCGTCAGGATATACATTTCACTTGTGTTTATTTGGATGATACCATGGTTTCTGGCCGAAGGGATGTTGAACATTTCTTCGAACGGTGTTGGAAAGTTTGGAACCGAATGGATTAAAACTGAAGAAATCTAAATGTGAATTTTTGTCTGAATCTGTTTGCTATCTTGGATACAAACTGGATAAGAGAGGTCTGTATGTTTTGTAAGATAAAATATCCCCAATTATACAGGCACCGCAACCTAAGAATGCTTATGAATTCCGAGCATTCTCAGGAGTGTTATCACACTAGCGTCGTTCTTTTTACCGGGGCATTAACTATTTTAGCTCCTTTGAATGCACTGCTACATAAAAACATCCCTTGGGTGTGGAATGAAGAGCATCAATCCACTTTCATTCGTGCTAAAAACTGTTTAGCATCAGCGCCAGTTTTAATGCAGTACAATAGAAAAAAGCCTCAGATCAGTGAGCGTGATGCCTCTCCATACGGAATTGGAGCGGTTTTGTGTTAAAAATATTGAATGGTGCAATTCACCCGATTGCTTTTGCTTCGCGTGCCTTATAACCAGTTGAAAAAATTATTCACAAGAAATTTATAAAGTATATTTAGTGCAGTCATTTTGAGATCCAAACTGATCACAAACCGTTGATATCCTTATTGGATGAATCCAATGGGATCTATCAAATGTTTTCACCCAGAATGCAACGATGGGCCCTAATCCTAAGTGCGTATGAATACAAAATCTCTTACATCCAAGGCTATAAAAATTGTACGGAGCATGCCCTGAGTAGGTTACCGCAGGCGACAACAGCATGGATAACAGATGAACCGGGGGAGTCAGTTCATTTGGTGTAGCACCTCAACACTACGCCTTTGACAAGTGACGTCATAAGTCGATGGACCGATCGGATCCCAAACTAGCCTCCGTGATACCTTTCGCGAAACTGGGCTGGCCTAGTAGAATTCCGGCTGATTTGAAACCTTTTGGGTTTCGGAAAACTGAGCTGTATATACACGATGGTTGCTTATTTTGGGGCTCACTTTTGGTTCCACCGTCGAAAGCGCGCTGCTTTATTCTACATGAACTTCACAATGGACATCCAGGTGCTGCCTGAATGAAGGCGCTTGCACGCGGCTATTGCTGGTGATCCGGCTAAGATGACGCAATTGAAAACTACCTGAAAGTGTGTGGTCTCAGCCAACAATATCAGTCGAATAAACCTCCAGACCCAATACACCCTGAGCGTTGGCCTGAAAGGCCATGGGAGTGTATGCATGCACTTACCGTCCTTCACCCACATGTACTCTTATGTCTTCTACGGTCCCCGTTACAAACGACCCACGTCTTGCAGCTGATGGAAGTAACAGCCAAACTCCCGGTTTTCAATGTCCTGCGATCGCAACCGCCCCTTACTCCACCGAAGCTCCAGCTCTTCTTCGACCTGGTTCTCCATTCATCCTCGCAGCGTTTAATGATCGAACTTTGATGCAGATCTGACGACAAGCATGTCTGGCCCGTACTCTTGAAACGCTTTCGGTAGACATCCGTTGCCTTTCAGAGACCAGATTACATGACTCTAAAGCCGTCATCAGAATGGCCTTTCCGGTAAACTCTGACGCCAAATACTACTTGCGGCTTTCCGGAGACCCAGAAGCTGCTGCCACTGGTCAAACTGGTGTTGGGGTTGTACTAAGTGCCAGGGCTGAATCAGCTCTGCTTGACTGGATCCCAGTCAACAGTCGGCTATGTGCAGTCAGACTAAGAGGTTCATGTAACGTAAGCAGGCGTCGAGACGTTAAGCGTGCCTTGTTTGTCGTCTCCGCCTACGCCCCTACAGACTGCAGCCCGGATGCAGTTAAAGATAGCTTTTACCAAAAACTAAATGAAATTCTGCGTTCCTCCAAACGGACTGATATAGTCATTCTTGCCGGGGACCTTAACGCACGGGTTGGCCGCCTTCCACTAAGCGAGCACCACCTTGGGGGTAGTTTTGGTCTCGGTGGCAGTCGATCAGACAATGGAGACAGATTACTTGCTCTTTGCTCTGATCATCGCTTGTTTCTTTCGAGCGCTAGTTTTCGGCACTCGAAGAGACACACTGCTACCTGGCGCCCGCCCTCACAAACGCAAGAGTGCTCCCAGCTTGACTACATAGCAATCAGCTACAGATGGCGCGGAAGCGTAACGAACTGCCGATCGTACTAGTCAACTTATTTAGACTCCGATCACGCATTGGTTCGTGCTAAGGTTTGCATGCGTTTCGGAGGATCACCTAAGCGCGCCCACTACCGACCGGACGTCGCGAATCTACAAAACGCTGCGATTTTAACCAGGTACCAAGCCTCACTGTCAACCTTGCTTGGCCCAAATATTGACCGTGATCTCGATTCGCAGTGGGCGCACATCAAAGATGCTTTAGTTTCCGCCAGTATCGACACTTGTGGAGTTACTCGTCACCCACCGAAGCATTGGATTTCCGCCGAATCTTTGTCGCTGATGGACAGACGCCGCTTGATCCCATCGGATTCCAGACACAGTGAGGAACGCCAATACCTTGGTCGAGAGTTGCACAGGAGTCTGCAAATGGAGCGCAAAGCTTGGTGGTGTGAACGTGCTAGGGAGATGGAGCTCGCTAGTCTCTCCGGTAATACCAGAAAACTCTTCTATCTCATTCGAGTCACCGAAGGTGTTCGATCTGGTATAAGTGAAACAATATGCGAAGAGGATGGCACCTTAATCACCAATCTTCAACGACGGTTGGAGCGATGGGCCAAACATTTTGGCTCGCAGTTTTGTTGGCCCCCAGTTCCATCTGCTACCTCTGGCGCTCGCGCTGGGGCCAAATGGTCTACGCCCACAGATCCTCCCTCTTCCCAGGAAATCGAGCAGGAGATCCGGCACATGAAGCATTATAAAGCCCCCGGCCCTGATGGTCTTCCTCCGGCTCTATTTAAAGATGGTGGCGCATCGCTGGTCCGAGAACTCACTGCTTTGTTCTCGAAAATTTGGTCGAAAGGGAAAGTTCCGTCATCTTGGGTGAATCGATAGTCGTCCCCATCTTCAAAAAGGGCCTGCGCACAATCCGCTTCAACTATAGAGGAATAAGTTTAGTCCCCGTCGTTTGCAAGCTGCTGGTGTCCATCATACTTCGAAGGCTATCCCCAACACGCAAATCGTTGCAGCGAGAAGAACAAGCTGGGTTTCGCCCTGGTCGCGGCTGCATCGATCAAATCTTCACACTTCGCCAGATCCTCGAGCTCCGCCATGTGTATCAGAGGCCAACGATTGCTGTGTTCCTGGATATCCGTGCAGCCTTCGATTCTGTCGATCGTACAGTACTGTGGCATTTCCTACTGAGGAATGATGTCCCCGAGAAGTTCGTCTCCATACTGCGCGCTCTATATAGTCTGACCACGGGCAGGGTTAGGGCTTATGGCATGCTTTCGCCTACCTTTGTGGTCTCCAGTGGAGTTCGACAAGGATGCCCTATCTCTCCGTTCCTATTCAACTTTGTCATTGAGGATGTCCTGAATTACGCACTGGGCGATTCGTTGAACGCTGGCGTTGAGCTACTCCCAGGTAGTCGAGTTGCTGATTTGGATGTGTTCTTGTAGAAAATTTGGGTTGCCACAGTTCTAAACCATGGCATGAAGTGCAGAGGGCCAGGTTAATGCGGTCATCCGTGGCCAATCTAGAAAGCGCATCCCTCAAGAGGCCCGACGGCAGGGTGAAATGACCCAGTGGGTCAAACACGTACGTTAAAAGTCGTAAAATATCAAGGTAAAATCCCGTGGCACCCGCCAGACTAAGGAACGGCGTTCTCGGTCGTAGTATGAACAGAATATGGTGTATAGTTGTGCCGACAGTTTGTGAAAGCAGTTGGAGCCGGTGAGTTCGTGGTGCCGATACACTGGCTGCAATGTTAACTCACACGATACAACCAAGTTGTATAACCACTGCCAGCGCCGCTGATACTCAAATGTAAATCTATGGGGATGAATACCGTGCCAAAGTTTTACCGAGCTCGAGGTGTTAGCAAAAAGTGGATGAAAATAGCGGAATGCTTGGGATAATGCATAAGTTTAGCAGCCAGTTGAAAGTGCACACATGATGCAGAAAGCCACAACATATGCTATCTGCGGACAGAGTGCAGATACCTTCTCATGGGTCGCCAAACAGGTGATAGAGTCAGCTGACGTGAGCTCAAGTAATCCGTTCTGCACCTCTTGATATTTTAGACGAGGTTGTGCCAGTGAAGAAGGGTGGATGGAATCGAACTCCTCAGCGAGTTCAGCGACTTCAAAAGCAGACATTTATCTGAAAAATAAGTAACGAGCTGTAAAACGGGGGATGACGTTAAGTAACACTGAATCGACTTAAAAAAGAAAAGTGGCTTTTGAACAAAGTAGTAATTGACAATTTCATCTACAGTAGATGCGAGTATGTGCAGAACAAGCAACAAGGAAAACTGGGTAGAACAAACTGGCGGATCATGGCATATCAACACAGTAGACAAGAGTCACTAATATAACCAGTCATCGGTCATCACCGAATCTAGCAACGCAGTAAGCGAAAGGCCTACATTGAAAAGAGTGGGAGTGATAGTGTACTACGAAGTTCGCGTTCATGTAGAATTGAAATAACCTGCGGCACTTTGCTCTTACTAAAACCCTCGTGTACCTGAAGTCGAATTAATTGCGAGTAACGAAATCAATACCTTAGATGGTAGTGGTGAGATACTGTCCACACATAAATATCTATGTTCAACATCGTAAATTTAGCACTTCATAAAGGGTCGACAGTTTGCGAACCATCCCCAGTGATCAGATGGCGGAACCCAATAATTCGGATGACCAATGAGTCGATTAAAAATTAACGACCCACAAGAAAATGTTTCTTAGTGCACTGCCCGCATTGGTGAAAAGGGTAAAAAAGTGTCGTTGGATTGTATTAGGGCATCAGCATTCCCTGTGCGATATGACATAACTCGAATCAAGTTGGTAGACTGGAACGTGAGCAACAACAGCAGAAACGTAGCTTTCGAACCTATCGGTATCAACCAACGCATCCAGTTAAGAAGCATTATTCTGTATTCTACCTCATTGTGGTGCCAGCTGGGTAGTTCGGGTATATCGCGTTCCAACGAAGTGTTCGGCGGCAGTGTTCTACCTCGGTGGGGCATTGTACTCCAGCAATTGTGTTGATTTTATGGGGAGGATTGGGCCTCCGTTTGGTAAGGTACCAAACAAAAGTCAGCGATTTCCAATGGGCGCGATTCCCTGAATTCGCCCCGCTGCCTTGCAAGTAGGCTATTTAGATAAAGGCTTGGTGTGGTGTCCATAAGACAACTCCCTACTTCGGATTGGGCAACCGCGTAGTATCACGCCCACTGACAAAAGCATGGATCATTCGTCTGCTATATCGCGCTCAGCTGCCTTAACCTCTGCTACTTGCATACCTTATTTACAGGTTACCTATTCACTTGTTGCCAATCATTGTTATCCGTTACCAGCTGATTTCTGTTTCCATGATCCCACTCCAGCTGGTTTCGTCTACATCAACAGAGTTCGTCCTCCTTCAGCCTCGGTCCTCGTTTTGCCTACCATGCTTCCATGTACGTACACTCATGCAGCAGGCTGGTCTTGCGCGCACTTTGGAATCCCTTGCCATTGATGTTTGCTGTCTTTCCGAAACACGCTTGCAAGACTCCAGTATTGTGTCTCAGTTGAGATCTCCTACCGACCGCGGAGCCATATTACACCTACGTCTATCTGGTGACACAGAGGCAGCTGCAGCAGGCTTGGCTGGCGTTGTGTAGTACTAAGCAGGCAAGCGGAAGCCGCACTACTGGACTGGTTCACGATTAATATCCGAAATTGTACAGTTCGGCAAAAGGAATCATGCAAAATGAAGATATCGTGAGGAGAGACGCAACTTGTTTACGGTCTCAGCTTACGCTCCCACTGACTACAGTCCCGACTCGGACAAGGACGGTTTCTACCATGAACTTCACAAGCTCTTAGGCAAAGCTTGCAAACCTGATATTGTTGTCTTTGCTGGGGATCGCAACGCACGTGTCGGTCGTCTATTGTCATGCGAGTCACCTCGGTGGTTACCATCGGTTCGTTGAGAAGCTCTCGGATAATGAGGAGACTTCTCACATTGTGCGAAGGAAATGGTTTATTTCTGTCGAGCACCAGCTTTCGGTATTGGTGGGGACGTTCCGTTGCTTGACGACCCTCACCTGCGTCCCAATCTTGGTCTCAGATTGATCATATCGCAATCAGTTTCAGATGGCGTAGTAGTGTGAAAGATTACAAATGAATCTGGTCCCTATTTCTTGACTCAGACAATGCGCTTTTTTGCGCGAATATATGCATGAGTTTCGGAGGTTCCCCAAAATCGAAGTATTGTAAAATGGATACAAATATATTATCTACTCTTTCGGTTCAGCAAAGCTATCAGGCTTCCCTGGCTGATGCACTCAGCTGTGACCGTCCGCAAGACATTGATGTGCACTGGACGTTAATGCAGAGTGCCGTTTTCGTTCGGGTAATTAGTCTGTAGTCTTAGCACCCTACAGAGGCCTGGGTCTCCACGCGCTCCATGGATCTATTTGACTGCCGCAGGAATATCTCAGCGGAGTCCACCTATAAGGAAGTGCGCCGTTCTGTCAGTTGGCAGCTCAATCGAAGCCTACGCGGTGATGCTTAGGCCTGGTGGTCGCAGCGCACTTAGGAAATGAGGGCCGCTGCCCTGGCTGGCAATACTCGCAAGCTCTTTCAGTTCATTCGATCCACTAGCCAGAAAAAGCCTGATTTTAGTGAGACCATTTGCGAAGCGGATGGTTTGCCTATTGTCAACCTACAGAGACGATTGGATCGATAGGCCAGTTCAATTAGCCCACACCGTCCACTTTTATTCCCTGCGAACCAAGACGCTCGCCTAGGGTCGGCCGGTGGCCGAGTGGTTGGCACGTTTGCTTTCCAACCACAAGGTCACCGGTTCGAATCCGCGTAGGGGTGGGCGTCCTCGCGGTATACTCAGCCCGCGCGCGGCTAGTGGTGGTCGCGCGGCAGCGAAGCGCCGTTACGGCGTATAAGCTGACACATTTCATTCATTCATTTCACATTTGATCCGCCTAGTGTAGCGGAAGTTTGTTTGCGATTCGACACCTGAGACGATTTAAGGCTGATGGCTTAGACAGACTTCCTCCGGAGCTGTTCAAGTATGGAGGTGCAGCCATCATTAACCAGTTAACCACATTGTTTTCAAAAATTTGGATTGAAGAAAATGTGCTTTCTTCCTGGGGCGAGTCAATTGTTATCCCAATTGTTAAAAAGTGTGCTCGTAATTCATACATCAATCACCGGGGGAGTAGTCTCATCTTGGTTGCTTCCGAGCTTTCGGTTTCCATTCTACATCATAAACTTACCCCTTTCGTGAATCGCAGTAACGAGCACAAACTGGTTTCCGTCCTGGCCGTGGGTGCGTGGATCAAATATTACTGTTCTGCCAAACCCTCGAACATCGCCACCTCTACCAAAGGCCCACTATAGTTGTATTTTTAGATATTCGTGTTGCACGCAATTCGGTTGATCGACTTACGCGGTGGCGTCGCTTTCTAAGGAACGAGGTCCCAGTAAAGTACACAGCCATCCTAGGCGCACTCTACCTCAACATCTCCGGCAGAGGGACTATGACAAACATTCGTCGTCATTCGCTGTCAACAGCGGTGTACGACAGAGCTGTTCTATGTCCCCTTTTCCTTTCAATTTTGTCATTGAAGACGTCCTGTCGAGAGCTCTGTAAGGTCCAGAGTTTGGATTGCAATTACTGCCAGACAAGCAAGCGATTGACTAAGATCATGTCGATGACATCGCCTTACTTGAGGACGACCCACAGAGCATGCAAACAGTTATAAACCACTTGGCGATTGAGGTGTCTGAATTCGGCTTGTGCTTCGTCCCATCGAAGCGCAAGGTGCTGCTCCATCATCATCAACAGCAGCACATCAGCCATTTGAACTGATGCTTCAATGCCATACAACCATGAGGATCTATGAAATAATCAATAAGGAGAGGGAGAGAAGGGGAACTTACCTGAAAACATTCAGGGTCAAGGCGCCTACACCTTGTGTAGACAACATTCCGTCACAAACAGCTGGCTATCGTGCAAAGATAAGGCGGCATCGGCGAGGCAGCTTCCTTGCGGCTTTCACTGCCACGCGTCCTAATCAGCCATTACCCTGCAGATAACTCAGCACCAAACACACTCTAAATAGGCCATCTGATTAGGAGACGGCAGCAGACGTGCCACTCCTGTCGGTTGTGAGCCATGTCCTGTAAAGTCTCGAGCCAAGCACAAGGCGAGTCACGTGGACTCCAGCCCGGAAGGCGAGACGGACCAACGGCACTCAGTTTGGTCGTCAGTGACTTCATTTCCTGCTGCCAAGTCAACTTCTGTCCACCTCGAGCCTTGCGCCACCCAACACCTGGTAGACTAAACAAGGCCCTCCTGGGTAAACGGTGACCAAACATACGTAGCACGTGCCCGAACCAACGCAACTTATTCGCAGCTATCTGTAGTTCTAGGGAGCTAGCATGATTATCACTACCTAGTACTCGCCTACGCACATCATCGTTGCGGACACCCTGGTGCCATCCGACACCAGCAATGCTTCGCAGACAAAGATGATCAAAGACTTGAAGGCGCCTCAGATCTTCAGACCGAAGGGGCCAAGTCTCACTACTATATAGCAGAACGACCCTCACTGTGGACTTGTATACACGGCCTTTCAGACGGAAGGAAATTCCCTTCTGTCGTCAGATATACCGCTGGTTCAAGAAGGCAACTCTGGCCTTTGCAATGCGTGAGCTGACATCAGTTTCTATGCGCCCATCATTGCTGATGCAGCTGCCAAGATAAGTGAAATGATCAACCACCTCGAGTTCCTCGTTAACAAGTGTCTAGGGGTCATCAAGTGGCTGGTGGTCCTGCAGCAGCACTTTGCACTTTGAAGGTGCGAAATGCATACCAAATAATGGGACTACTCTGGACAGGCTATTCAGAGTTGATTGTGCCGCCGCAACATGGTCGAAAAGCAAGACGATATCATCCGCATAATCTAGATCAACTAATCTTTCACCAGGCAGCAGTTCAACGCCTACATCGTGAGATTCCGCAAGGGAACACTCCATGATAGAATCCACGACGAAATTGAACAAAAATGGGGAAATCGGACAACCCTGACGAACGCCACTTGTAGTCGGAAAGCTATCCGATAGGCCACCGTAGACCCTGACGCGGACTGTAGTG